TACAAGAACATTCCTAGAAGCTTTATTCATAATAGCTAAAAACTGTAAGCATCCCAATGTCTGTCAACAGGGAAATGAATAAATATGTTTGAGTAGATTCACATCATAGAATACTACTCAACAACAAAGAAGAATCCCAGAATAACATGGATAGATCTCAAAAATATCACGTTGGGTAAAAGAAAATAGAGCAAAACAGTATACACAATATGATTCCAGTTATGCGTAGCTCAGGAGTAGGCAAAATTAAGTTTTGATAACAAAAATAGTAAAAGCAAAGTTTTCAAGTTAGGGCAGATAATGCCATGGTTGCGCTACACATCTGAGGTTCCTTCCCGCTTCCAATGACACAGCAGCTGCCTCTGGGGTGGGAATGGGGGGCTTTCTGGAAACAGGCACGAGGGGTGATGGCAATGTTCTTTCTCTTGATTTGGGTGATGGTCATGGGTGTATACATTTGCTTAAAATTCATTTTAACAAAACATTTATTAAAGCTTTACATTTAAGATATGTTCATTTTATATATAAATTATGTCTCATTTAAATTTTTATTTTTTTATTTTTTATTTCAGCATATGATGGGGGTACAAATGTTTAGGTTACATATATTGCTTTTGCCCCACCTGAGTCAGAGCTTCAAGTATGTCCATCCCCCAGACGGTGCACACTGCACCCATTAGGTGTGTATATACCCATTTCCTCCTCCCTCCTCCCACCTGCCTAACACCCAATGAATGTTGCTATTATATGTGCACTTAAGTGTTGATCAGTTAATACCAATTTGGTGGTGAGTACATGTGGTGCTTGTTTTTCCACTCTTGTGATACTTCACTTGTAGAATGGGCTCCAGCTCTATCTAGGATAATACAAGAGGTGCTAGATCACCATTGTTTTTTGTGGTTCAGTAGAACTCCACTTTATTATCCACCCATGTATTGATGGGCACTTGGGTTGTTTCCACATCTTTGTAATTGTGAATTGTGCTGCTATAAACATTCTAGTGCAGATGTCTTTTTTATAGAATGTCTTTTTTTCCTTTGGGTAGATGCCCAGTAATGGGATTGCTGGGTCCAATGGTAGTTTTACTTGTAGCTCTTTGAGGTATCTCCATATTACTTTCCACAGAGATTGTACTAATTTACAGTCCCACCAGCAGTGTATAAGTGTTCCTATCTCTCTGCATCCATGCTAACAATTATTGTTTTGGCACTTTTTGGTAAAGGCCATTCTCACTGGAGATAAGTGATATCTCACTGTGGTTTTGATTTGCATTTCCCTGATGATTAGAGATGTTGAGCATTTTTCCATATGTTTGTTGTCCATTAGTCTACCTTATTTTGAAAAGTTTCTGTTCATGTCCTTTGCCCATTTTTTGATACGGTTGTTTGATTTTTTCCTCGCTGATTTTCCTGAGTTCTCTATAGATTCTAGTTATCAGCCCATTATTGGATGTGTAGCATGCGAATACTTTCTCCCATTCTGTAGGTTGTCTACTATCATGATAGTTTCCTTGGCTGTGCAGAAGCTTTTTAATTTGATCAGGTCCCATTGATTTATTTTGTTGTTGCTGTCACTGCCTTTGGGGTCTTCTTCATAAATTCTTTGCCTAGGCCAATGTCTATAAGAGTTTTTCCAACATTTTCTTCTAGATTTCTTATAGTTTCATGCCTTACGTTTAAGTCTGTTATCCACCATGAGTTGATTTTTGTGAGAGGTGAGAGGCGTGGATCTTGTTTCAGTCTTCTGCATGTGGCTTTCCAATTTTCCCAGCACCATTTATTGAATAAGGATTCTTTTCCCTGGTGTATGTGTTTGTCTGCTTTGTCAAAGATTAGAGGGCTAGATGAGGATGGTTTTATACCTGGGTTCTCAGTTCTATTCCATTGGTCTATGTCTCTGTTCTTGTGCTAGTACCATGCTCTTTTAGTTACTATAGCCTTGTAGTATAGCTTAAAGTCTGATAAAATTGATGCCTCTCAATTTGTTCTTTTTGCTTAAGATTTCTTTTGCTATAGGGAGTTTTCTCTGGTTCCATACGAAGTATAGAATTATTTTTTCTAGATCTGTGAAAAATGATGTTGGTATTTTAATAGGGATTGCATTGAATGTGTAGATCACTTTAGGTAGTTTAGACATTTTAACAATGTTGCTTCTGCTGACCCATGAGCATGGTATGGTTTTCCACCTGTTTACGTCCTCTGCTATTTCCTTCCTCAGTATTTCATAGTTCTCCCCGTAGAGGTCTTTTGCCTCCTTAGTTAAATATATTCCTAGGTATTTTATTTTCTTTTTTGTTATCGTGAAGGGTATTGAGTCTTTGATTTGGTTCTCAGTTTGACTGTTGTTGGAGTATAGGAATGCTACTGATTTCTGTACATTGCTTTTGTAACCTGGGACTTTGCTGAATTTGTTTATCAATTCCAGTAGTCTCATGGCAGAATCTTTGGAGTTTTCTAGATATAAGATAATATTGTCAGCAAAGAGAGATAGTTTGACCTCTTCTGCCCACATTTGGATGCCCTTGATTTCCTTCTCTTGTCTGATTGCTCTGGCTAGGACTTCCAGCACTGTGTTAAATAGAAGTGATAGAGGGAAAGTTTCTGATACACTAAGAGATGATCATTCCAAATGGAGTGTTGAGTGGTAAGAGATATACAAACACAGGTAAGCCCATGTGGACTTTTGCTTAAGCAAAAATCTCCCAGATTTTCAAATACAGGATGAACCTGGGACTATGCTATGTGTAGCACTGGTCAGCCTGAATCACAGCCCTCTCCAAGCCCCTGGAAAGCAACTCTAAATACACTTAGGGGTCCCGTGGCATATGCCCCCTCCATGTTACATCTTCCTGTATCTCATCGTCCTAGCCCCTTAGATGTACCCACTTAGCACTCTAAAAGACAGCTAGGAAGATGTAAGTATAGTAGTCTCCCTCAATACCATTTGGCTTTCTGCTGTTTCAGTTACCTGCAGTCAGCATGGTCTGAAAATATTGAAATGGAAAATTCATAAGTTTTAAATTGTGTGCTGTTCTAAGTAGCACAAATCATCTCTTTGTGCAGGGTATCCACACTGTGCTCCCTGCCTGTTAGTCACCAGGTAGCTGTCTCAGTTATCAGCTCAACTGCCACAGTACTGTAGTGCTTGTGTTCAAGTAACCCTTATGTTACTTATTAATGGCCCCGAAGGGCAAGAGTAGTGATGAACATGCCAAAGAGAGGCCATAAAGTGCTTCATTTAAGTGAAAATGTGAAAGTTTATCATAAGTATGTATGTGTAGAAAAAAACATAGTATATATCAGGTTCAGTACTATTTGCAGTTTCAGGCATCCAGTGAGGGTCTTGGAACATATCCCCTTGGATAAGGGGGGACTATTGTAATGCCTATAAGTATGATATGAAAGTCATACCCATATCATTTGCTTCTGTCAAATACAGAAGCAAATTATCAGATTATCATCACACTTCAGGTCTTCCTATTTAAATCAAGTCCTAAGAATGAATGATTCTATCAAAGTTTTATCTTGTTATTTTGTTTCTTAGCTTCCTTGAGTGGAAATACAGAAAAGTCAGTAGTAGTGGAAATGTTTTTGCTGGGTCCCACCTAACTCTTTCCATATGTTTCTTCTTCCCTTAAAGAACCCACCTGCTCCCCCACTCCCCTCTGAACCACAGGGCTGGAGGGCCGCGCGAAAGCGCAAGAACGGCACTCCTTCGGCTGCAAGAACTCCTTTCTGATCGGCTCCCATCACCTCTCAGTACTTCCCATTCTGGTCAAGGTTGAGATGAAAGACAATAAAACCCATAGCAGCAGAAAGTTTTCAGAACACAAAGCTCTTAGGGTACTGAATTCCAAGAGTAGGTTTCCTAGGGCTGTCTCTGGAGTCCACACAGAGGTGAAGATCTAAGAGTCTGTCTCAGGGACATCATGAAGAGGTTGGGCACATCATAGAAGGCTTTCCTGGCATCCTGTTGTGTATACCTTCCCCTCCTCTCCTTTGCCCTGTCCGGATCCCAACTGTGAGACCCATCCATGGTTGCTCCTACAGCCTACAGACAATTTTTACCTAATCTCCTTCTCAACATCAAAACTTTAGTCCAGGAGTGAGTGTCCCACGTGCCCCTGTCTCCACCAAACAGCCCCTCATTGACACCTCCTGTCTCTACCCTTTGGCATTTGAATTTGCAAATCCTGCCTTAAGCCTTTTGTAGGTGTCTCTATAGTGCCATTTCTGACCTCTCCCTGGCACCAACCATGCAACAGAGCCCTTCGTGTAATGTGCCTACATTATACATTGAATGCATGTACATGACCATCTGTAGCAAACTCCAATTTACCACCATTACTGAATTTCTGTGTGTCACAGATCAGGTTTTCCATAAACAGATTGAGACAGGCTTTGCATGCAGGAGACTTATTGGAAAGTGCTCTAAGGATCAAAACCTTTGGTGGGGGAAGAAAGTTGAGGCAAGGTTGCACACAGAGAGAAGCTGCCTATGATGTCTCGGATGATCCTATGGAGAGTTCTGGGAGCTGGGCTGGCCCTCAGGGTCAAACCGAGGCAAGGTGACCAAGCCTTTATAACCTTCATTGATCAGTCATGGGATTCAAGCATCTCCCACTCCACCCCCAAGAAGAGGGTACCACGTTGGGTAAGATAGCTCTCCCACACATGGGCAATTCCTCGAGACAGACACATCTGAGAGCTGTCACCCGGTGACTCTCCCAGCAGCTGCTGGATGAAGGCTTCTGTTACCCTTTGTAACCCTGTAGCCCCAGCCTTCCTTCTGCATTGCCCATACTCAACGTGGACACGATGAATTAAATTGATGTTAATTAGATCAACTGTGCTCGGCCAGCTTTTTAAATTTTCAGTAGGGCTCATTTGTTTCTCCTCCAGGCAAACTACAGTTGACTGATCCAGGTTCCCAGGCACAGAGCCCACATCTTCAGGCACCAGCACAGACCCAGCCGCGTCCCCCACCACAGGGACACCCACCCAGGAGCTTCCTCAGAGCCCCAGCCACTTGTTTGTTCCTCAGACTGTAGATGAGAGGGTTGAGCACAGGGGTGACCATGGTGTAGAAGGCCGAGACCACCTTGTCCTGCCTGGCAGAGTGGTAGGCCTGCGGCCGCGTGTAAGTGACCATGGCAGACCCGTAGAAGAGCGCGACCACCGTCATGTGCGAGGAGCAGGTGGCGAAGGCCTTCTGCCTGCCGCGGGCAGAGTGCATGCGCAGCACGGCCGCCAGGGTGCGCAGGGAGGAGGCGGAGATGACGGCGAAGGGCAGCAGCAGCATGAGCACGCAGCACACGTAGGTCATGGTCTCGTAGAGCGACGTGTGCGCGCAGGCCAGCTTGAGCACGGCGGGGACCTCGCAGAAGAAGTGGTCGATCTCCTGCGAGCCGCAGTAGGGGCAGCGCAGGGCGAAGACCGCCTGCACCAGCCCATCCGCCAGGCCGAGGAGCCGGCAGACGCGGCGGCTCATGACGGCCGCGTACCTCAGCGGGTCGCAGACGGCCACGTAGCGGTCCTAGGCCATGCAGGCCAGCAGGAAGCGCTCGTCCCCCAGCAGCGTGAGGAAGAAGAGGATCTGGAGCCCGCAGCCCGCGAAGGAGATGGCGCCCCCGCCGCGGAGGAGGTCTGCGGCCGTGCGCGGCGCGACCGTGCAGACGAGCGCGAGGTCGGCGAGCGACAGCCCGCCGAGGAAGAAGTACCTGGGGCTGCGCAGCCGCGCGTCCGCGCCGATGAGCAGCAGGAGGAGCGCGTTGCCCGAGAGCGCCGCCAGGAGCGCGAGCGCGAGCGCGGCGAAGGCGAGCAGGGGCCTTGGCGCGTGCGCGGAGAGCCCCAGGAGCACGAAGTGGGGGGTGAGCGTCTGGTTTCCCGCCCAGGCCATCGCGCCTGCGGGACGTGCCAGGGAGGGCTGCGATCTGGAAGCAGGAGGTTCACGTTTAGTGCCATGACGTGGGGGACGTTGCACCTTTTCCCAGGGGGTCATCCTCTTTAAATGGTACTTGGTTTAGAATAAAAGGCGTACGCTGTTTAAGGAAGAAAACTCTCTAACGAAGACACAGGTGGTGGTGGTTGTTATTTTAACTTCTAGGACTGTCTGCATATGGTAGAGAAGTGAATTTTAAGCTATTTATTGCTAATGTGGGAAACTGCTTCTGCCTCAGCTGGGAACTGGTCTGTTCTCCAGCCCTCATAGTTGCTTCTCCTGGAAGCTCTCGGCCAATCTCACTAAGGATGCGCCCACTGCTGCATCTTCACATTTAATCCTCACAACTACCCTGAAAGATGGGGATGATCATTATCCCCATTTCACAAATGGGGAAGCTGAGACAGAGGGAGGTTTATTAATTTCCTTTCAGATATGAAAGCTTAGAGTATTTCTCAGAAGTTTAGTAAATAAAAAATTGTTGGCAACCCAAATGCCCAACATAAAGGAATCGCTAAGTAAATTATGGTACAATCACATGGTAAAATAATATATACTCAATAAGGTGTTTATGACATTTTAATAGATATTGAGCAAAAAAAAATACTGAATATTCTTAAGTATTTCTTAAGACTGGGAGAAAGTATGCCAAGATAATGACTGCGTGGTTCCTTTCAGGTAGTGGGATGAAGGGTTATCTCTGCCCAGTTTTTTTGTACTTTACACATTTTCTATAAGAAACATGGAAATATAATTTAATTTTTAAAGCAAAGTCACACTATATATAGGATCAACACAAAAATCGGCAGCTTACTCATAAATAATACCAACTAATTAGCAAAAGTAGAATATATTTATATATATATTAGTCATAATTACAACAAAACTGTGAAGTATCTTAGAAATAACCCTAATGGTAAAAAAATACAAAACTTTACTAAAAGACATAACAGAAAGCTTGAAGAAAGCTATGCATGTGTTTGGATACATATGCTCAACACTAGGATGTAATTTCTCCCTCAAATTATAGAAAACCCGTGTGATCACAATTAAAATCCCAACAGGACATTTACAGTTTAAAAATGGAAGTTCAGAGTTAGATCTCTCTCAGAAGTCTTCCCCAAAGCAGTAAGGAGATGGAAAACAGAAGTACAGTCTGCGTTGGAAAAGTTGGGGTAGCTGACAGCTGAACACAGAAAATATCTGGAAGAGACCCCAAAACAGGTAGAGGCTGAGCAGGAGTGAAGAAGAAAGTGGGCAAAAGACCCCTGTAGGCATAAACCACAAAGTGTGCTCTCCAAAGAGAGGGGCAAAACCAAAACAGCTAGTATGCAGCAGCAGAAGCAGGTGCATGGACTGCTGCACGGACTCTCTCAGGACGCAGTTTATTCCAAGGAGCAGAGGGGAAGGAATGGAATAAAGAATCACACAGATCAACTGTATTTGCAGGAATCGTTCTGCCCCTGTGGCAGGGAGAGGAGAGAGGATGGATTTGCATTTAAGAATAGCCCTGTAGTCTTCTGTCTCAGTAGCCTGAGGATTAGTAAAGGTTGCCTTCAGTACCCAGGGTCTGGAGAACCAGGACGTACAAAGAACTCCACCTCTGGACTAGCATGGCTGATTAAACGTACTCAATCACCATTCCCTCCAAAAATCCTACTAGAATGAGTTACCACAGACAGACACAATGAGAGAGAAAAGACAACAAAAACAGTTTTTGGAAACTAGAAGCAGATGGATGGGTTGTAACTGATTTGCAAAACTAAGAAGGCTGTGTTCTATGCTGGCAGTGCCTAAGAGAACAGTAACCACAGATGGGCTGAGGGCTCAGGAATTGGTGGCAGGAGGTGCCAATATAAGTGGGGGTGAGAATGAGACCAAAAAAGGGATTGCTTGAGCTGAAGAAGCACCTTGATACCTAGATCCCCTCTCTCCACACGGCCCTGCCCCTCCTTCACCCTGGAATGAAGTGTGAGACTGATTGTCCTGGGGAAGGTGAAGCAGAGAGTTCCAGGACCAGGGGAAGCCCACAGAAGGTGGGGGAGCTGTGAACACTAGAGAAAATTGAAGAAAACTGCGTGCCTGGCCTCTTCTCCCACTCAGCTCCAGGACCCAGATTTATTTCCTTTGGGCGAGAAATTAGATGACCCCCCCCCATTCCCCAACCAGAAATCTAACTGGCTCAGGAAACATCTAAAACTACTGATGTTGCAAGTTTAAAAAAAAAAATCCAGTCATCAAACCCAAAGCGAAGCCACAACTGATGTGCGCCGCCCACGTGCTCAAAGTACCCAATCTGTTTTTTGGTAACCCACACTTTAATATGAGCAGACAACCAAGGGTCAGCAGACACCCAAAAAAAAGTTTCCATCCACAAAGAAGGGAAGGAAAACCAACAAATCAATACAGCTGAAAGAAAAGCCTTTTCAGGGAAACAAAAATATTTTTTAAAAAATTTATCATCAACATGAACAAGATAAAGAAGATACTATAAACATGAAACAAGAAAAAGATGCTATAGAAAAAGGAGCATTCAGAGGACAAAGAGCTCTTTTAAAAATAAAAATACGTTTGTGCAGTTCTGCTTAGAGGAATTCATTTTACACCTTGGCACATATGTGAAATGACTTACAAACAAGATGATCTGGTATAGATTTATTTATAGTAGAAAAAAGATTGCAAACAACCTAAATGTTTATCAGTGGAAGAAAGGCTGAATGAACAATGGAATAATGCAAATAACAAACAACATGGGATTTGCTTTTTATATGTTGATGTGGAATCCTCTCCAAATTATATTGTTCAGTGAAAAAAGCAAGGTACAGAACAGTGTGTATGGCATAGTTGCATATATACATATATATGTATGTGTGCAGATATATACACACATACATGCATACATTATATAACATGTTATATCATGTATTATATAATTGTATATCACAATTATATATTATGTAAATTATGTTTTAAGTTACATAATCATATAATTATACTATATTATATATCTTACATCATATGATAATATATACTATTATATTTTGCATATATATTTATAAAAAAAGAAGCGTGTGTATGTATATATACACATATCCATAAACAAAATTTCTGGAAAGAAACATGAGAAACTAGTAATACTGCCTCAAGGGAAAGAATCAGAAGAATCAGATTGCTGAGATCTGGGGTAAAAAGAATCTGTGGCATACGATTTTGTGCCTTTAGAATTTCCGTCTTTGTGAGGCAATAACCTCATAAATGTAAGTACATGTAATGTTGAAGTGATCCGATTTGCATGGAAATTGACAGGTGAGAACCCACAGCACGCACAGCACATTGTAGGTGCATCATAAATATTTGTAAACAAATAGCCAAAAAAGTCCTGGAGTTATCAGTTATCAAGATACTGTATAAAGGTACGTTCATTAAAAGAGCCTGGTATTGGTAAAGCAATAAGCAAACAGAGCAATAGAACAGAGTAAGTCCAGAAAATTTGCAATGGAATTTAAACAACGGAATTCAAACTCTGTGAGAAAAGAAATGTTGTTCAATAAATGGTTTGAGACAATTGCCTACTTGTTTTGAAAGAAAAAAATCCCTACCTCATACCACACACAAAAATAAATTCCTGGCAAATTTAAATGGAGAAACAGGGGAATGTGTTTATGACCTTGGAGTAGGAATGGTCTTAAATAAGGCATAAAAAATGGATAAAATATGTAATGAGCAGTAAAGAAAATCAAAATAAACATAGAGAAAGATTACTTCATCTCACTAGTAAATAGAGAAATTCAAATTAAAAGAGATACAACTTTTTACCCCTGAGTAGAGTTTGGTCATATCAAGTGCGGGCAGACAAGACATAAGAAATAAGTACATATATAAAGTGCCAAAGGACACAGAGTATGATAACAATGGTCACCTCTGGAGAGAAGATTAAGATTAGGTGAGGATCTAGTCAAAGAGAGACTCTAGCTTGATCTATAATGTTTGAGTTTTTGACAAGAACCTGTCCACACATTCCTTGATTTTAAGTGAAGATTGTCGGGATATATCTGGGAGGTCTTCTTAAGCTTTCTTCGTATCACAACATTTTTAAACACATAAAACAAGTAACAATTAGGAAATATTTTGAAAAAAGTAAAAGCAATAAATACATATTTTTTTACAGAAAAGTAACATTGATTGCATACTGTTCTCAATGTCACCTCTGGGGTGTGAGGTGGGGGATCCCTACGTTGCTAAAGCTACCCGGGCACGTATACCACAGTCATAGTGCCTAGGAGCACGTCAAGGATCCCATCCTAGGGAATGATGGTGGCACTCACCAAGCAACAGGACAGGTGCAAGTGAGGCAAGAGAGAAAGAGGGCAAGGGGTTGGAAAGGAGAGGAGGCCAGGTACGGTGGCGCATCCCTATAATCCCAACACTTTGGGAGACTGAGGCAGGAAGATCACTTGAGCCCAGGAGTTCAAGGCTGCAATGAGCTATGATCACACCACTGCACTCCAGCCTGGGTGACAGAGCAAGACCCCATCTCTAAAAAATAAAATAAATAAATAAAAATTTTGAAAGGAGAGGAATGAGGAGAAACATTAACAATAGGCCAGGAGAGGAGAGATAAAAGGAGTAATTGGAAAACAGCAAGGAAAAGGAGACAGGAGAAAGAGACATGAGACAAAGGAGAAAAAGAAAGGAGGGAAAATATTAAAATACTGGAAATGTTTTTACCCAGAAGATAACAGAAAATAGTAAAACAAAGACACACTGAGACGGAGGCAGAGAGAGCAGACCTCACGAGCAGGGAGAATGAAGACGCTGAGAGAGAAGGTTCAGGAAGGAACACAGCTGGGACAGGGGCGGGAGGCAGGGTCCTTGAGGGAAGCCGGCAGCCAGGTGGAGGGACAGAGCACTCCTGTTCTCGACGGGACACCGCAGGTGCTGCGGGAGCCAAGCCTCCG